AAATACAATAGAAATATGTCGAGCGGAGATTCCAACCAAACAACTACAAGTGAAGTCCAGCAAAACAATATCAGGCTCTCAAACTAATTACACGCACCCAACATGGCACCTCCTACACTTCACTTCAGGCCTTAACAGGAGAAATGCCACTAAGTCTACGCAGGGAACAGCTAAGCTTAAATTTCTGGGCAGCGTCCCAATCAAACCCTCTCATCCAAAACTTAATAAACCAAAATATCAGCCCCAAAAACCAAGCTCTAGCTCGTAAACACCCCTTACTTACCCCAATATCCCAAAGAATAACAAACTACCTAAATGAACACCAAATTAAAAATCTTAAACAAAACTGCAAACAATCAAATATTTTCACCCCTAAACTTAAAATACCCAAAATAGACACAACACTAGCTAGCCAAATAAATAAACAAACCGACCCAAACATAGCTAAAACCACCACACTAGCATACATACACGACAATTGGCCAAATTGGTGTCACATTTACACGGATGGATCTTCAGATCCGACCTCCAAACACACAGGTTTCGGAGTCCATACCACACAACCAACTAAAACCACACAATCCTTCCGACTCCCAAACAACCAATCAATGTTCACGGCAGAACTAATGGGCATGGCCTCAGACCTCCATAATCAAGAATCCAAAAACCACAAAAAAAATCCTAATACTTACCGACTCCCTAAGTGGACTACAAGCCCTCCAAAACAAAAATACCAAAAACCGACCTAAATTAATAAATCAAATACTTAAAAGCTCCAACGACCTAACTAAGGCAGGCAAACAAATAAACTTCTTGTGGATACCCGCCCACGTAGGAATATACGGTAATGAAAACGCCGATAAGGCAGCTAAACTATCCCTCAAAATCCCAGAAATAAGCTTAAACTTACCCATCTCAAAATCAGAAATTAAAAGCGTAAACAAGCAAAAAATCACCAAAAAATGGCATAACCTATATCTCAACTCAAATAGCCAAAGTAAAAAAGTTCTCAGCAAACCACTAACCAAACCAAAAATTCTCCATCCATCAAAAAAAATCGACAGAGTAATCACTAAACTCCAAACAGGACACACCAACCTAAATCACCACCTAAAATATAAAAAAAACATACTACAGGTAACTGCCCACACTGCAAACAACTAGAAACCCCAGAACACGCACTCATCCACTGCACACACTACCTAACACATCGAACCGCATTACAAACCACCCTCAATCTAAACAAGGCTCTCGCTCTAGAAGCAATATAAACACAAAATAAACTAGAAAACTTCAAGGCCTTAGGCGTATTCTTAATCAAAACGGAACTAATAAAACGCATCTAAAAACAATATAATCTACCAAATCAAAATTACATAAACAAACAAACATCCACCATACCCAGCTCCCTTAGTTCTCCTCCCCAATCCCATCGGCATCTATTCCAAATCTCAAAATTCCCAAATTCTATATAAGCAACCCCTAAAGCCCCCTTGGGTTGCACACACCACTTTCGCCCCTTTCGGAAACACATTAAATGGCCTGGCCGGGCCCGTGTGCGAAGTACGCATCAGTCGGAAAGCGCACGTTAAATCTCCAAAGTAAGTAAGTAAGTAAGTAAGTTACAACTCATCTTGAATGAACAATTTTAGAGGTTTCAATTTTCCGTCTCAATTTACACTCAAACATGACTTTGGAAAGTACTCGATCAGACGTAAAAAAACATGAATGATTTCTTTTTTTTTAAATACATATATAGGCTATGTATATTATACGCAGCTTTATCCAACGCCTCCCAATCCCCTGTAGCAGATGGGATTCTGTATCTTCGATATAACTCTGAACCACAAACTGGGTTTTCAGCAGTGAGAACTCACTGCTACCCGAACTGTTGAGTTGTATATCACGTTTTGGGTGGGTCGTGGTAAGAATAAAATGCAACCTTGTATTTCAGTAAAACGTAAACACATGCCTTCGTGTACATCAGTCAATGTATTACCCAATGAAGAGACTGAAATGAACTAAACTGAACTGAACTGAACTTTATTTCACTCAAGGCTGACAGGAATCCGTAAGTCGATTAGCTATCCATACAATAGCCAGCACTGTTCTGCTTTTGGTGTAAATTATTGATCAACACCTGACAATTCTAAACAATTTAGTGCACGGTTGGCCTCGTCGTCTGAGGCGCTTCATCTCTTTCATCAGAGTTGCCTCCCTTTTCCCTTTGAAGGATCAGATACCTTCGACCTTGGGTTCCAATTCAAGATTCATCTTGATTAGTTTAGGCTTTTTCAACACCGTACCCGTGATAGGACAATGTGAACAAGAACAGGATGTTGCACACAGTTAATCAACATACAAGGAAAAGCTCTTAATTTTGATTGAAACCAGTGCACTTTGACAATGAATAGTGAAGGAAGCAGGTAACTGCTTGGAATAAACCTTCAATCTTGCTGGAATTGAATAAACAACGCAGTAGGAGGATTGGATTCCGTTAGTGTTCAATCATGTCATTGTTTCTGTTCAGTGAGTGCCTGGGACACGCCAGAAACCTAGGATCGGGGGTGCTAATGCTGTATCGCTCCCATTCCATTTCTAAAGTTTGTCAGCATCATACCCGGGGTCTTCCCCCCACCCCTCATTCACCCCCACCCCCCACCCCAATTCACCCCACCCCCACCCCCACCCCCAACCCCGCGACACACGTCGTAATGTTATGTTAAAAGTGGCGTAAAACACCACTCACTCATTCACTCATTCTGTTCAGAGAAAGGTTCAGTTTCGGCTAATCATTAAGCACATCACATCAAGAACAAGTTCTTCCGAACCAACGATTTATACTGCTACGGATTCGAATAGTTTGTCCATCAAACGTTTCAGACAGCAAATATGACTGATGAAAACAGTCAATTTGATGGCCTCTTTACCGTAACTTTATGGCTATAGTCGTACTATGGCTATACTTCTGGCTCAGTCGTGGTCGGCAAATAGGCTCAATCAATACAGGTGACCAATGAAACTAGGGACGTGATTATACCCCATCAGAATAATGGTTTTTTGATATTAACTAAAACTCTATCTAATTGTCTCAACGGCAGCAACGGCACCGGGACACAGGGTCAGTCGATAAACAGTGTACAGGAGATTAAAGGAACGTGGTATCAGAGCACGTCGACCCAGCCTCGGAGTGATGCTAACACGCCAACACCGACGTGACAGGATGCCATGGGCCAGGCGAGTTCGACGTTGGCAAGTGCGGGACTTGGGACGCGTCATGTTCTCCGATGAGAGTAGATAGTTTGTACAACACTTATGGTCGGCAGCGAGAATACAGACGAGTAGCGTTTAGCGCCAAATTGTGTTCAACAAGGTCAACCATTTGGAGGCGGTAGCGTCATGGTCTGGGGAGGTATCGGCGGTGATATCAAAACGAGGCTCGTTATTATTCAGGGAAACCTGAATGTCCAGAGATATCGGTGTGACGTTTTGAGACCATTCATTCAGCAACAGCCACGTGGCATTGTCGTCCAGCAAGGCAATGCGAGACCGCATATGGCAAGGTTCACGCAGAACAATGCGAACATTCACATTTTACCATGGTCGGCATGTTCTGATGATATGAACCCCATTGAACATTTATGGAGTCCTTGGCCGACAGATCAGTGGACGACCAGCACCAGTCAGTCGCCCCGAATTGTAACAATGTCTCTTTGAGGAATGGCAGCGGATTACCCCCAACGTCCTCCGACGTTTGACGTCATCGGTGCGTCGCCGTGTTCAGGCGTGCATTAATGCACAAGGTAGACATACTCGGTATAAAGTTGGTTTCGAATGTGCTCTCAGAGGTTTTCAAGCCAGGTTGAACAAGTTTTGCGACAGTGATATTGTGAAACTTGTCATTTTGCCTCTGTATCTCGGTCAGTCGTAAGGCTTTTGTTTGGAACACAAATGAAATCTATACATATGCTTTTGCTTTCTTTCATAGTTTTTCATAGTTTTTCTAACTCTTGGTATACTTTCTTTACTGAGATGTTTTTGATGGCCTGATATCTTGACTATACCTGAGACCTAGAATTACATGGCGATTGTAAATGGTGGACATAGTAAGATCTGTTAAGCTTAGATACCCGTGAAGATCCGGGTTATATTTGGTCTTCAGCAACCCATGCGTGTCGTAAGAGGCGACTAACGGGATCGGTTGGTCAGGCTGGCTGACTAGGCTATGGCATGTCATCGTATCCCAATTGCGTAGATCGATGCTCATGATGTCAATCATTAGATAGTCTGGTTAACATTTGTGTGCTTACAGACCGCCGGCATATAACTGGAATATTACTGAGTGCGGCATTAAACAACAAACATACAAACAAAGTATTAAACTGACAGTTAGAGAATTAAAAGGATGTTTTTGATCTTATCCATTTCAAAGCCATAAAGAATTAAAAGATGTCACCAGGGGGTAGATATTGAAATGTACATATATGCACCCGTTACGTTTACCTTGAAACGCTATAAACCAAGAGCACGATTATTCGTAATTCATGCACCAGTTCGAAATTACCCCTGATTGTGTGTGTAGATTGTCAGCACCATATACGTGTTTATGTGTTTTACCAAAGTGGTTAACGTCTGCATCCCAAACTAAGCTTATACGCTGTGATGTAACTGGAATACTGTTAAAAGCAGCGTTAAAATCCCAACTCACTTCGTAATTCCAGATGGCGAATATAAGTACAACAAGCCGAGTTCTCTATGTTTATCTATGATCCCCTCCGCCAGCCATCTATTTACGATGTGTTTCTCTCCAATGAAATTCTGCCTTGAGGGTCAACAAGATACGTGTCATACCTTGTTTTTATCTGCTGATGCACGAGACCAAAACACATATTTGAGGCATATAACAATACAACTAGTTTTCAACAACTGCCAGATGTTCTGGGGGTATCTGCAGTAAAATTAAATGACCTGAAATGTATTGTAGCTTTTCTGTGTTGCAGGTAGCGAACAAGGTGTATTCTGGGGCTTCTATAGAAGGTATCCAAACACGAGGAGCACATGTACACTGACACAGAAGATCCTGGTGGCCAGGCCGATACCATGTGGGTCTGCATGTTCAATCACAGAAGGCTGCACTGGGTTTAATCTTTACAGATCTCCCAGTAACGTGGTGGGCGGCAAGCGCTATGAATGCGAGCTACTCAAATGTCAGAATGATCACATGCTATCTGGCATAGCAGGACACCACTATTATGACCAACTGTAGAAAGCTAACAGTCATTACCCTTTACACATACGCCAGGTGACTGGGGTGTTGTGCTGGCGTAGGAAGAGGACCTGGCATACGAAGATGACTGTACCGGTGGCTTAAAAGAATTATATTTTATGGTTATTTCAAATCAATATATGTGATACATTTGAACAAATATGTGAACTTTGGGAACAGGACATAAAGACATAAAGTAAACTTTCCTATGGACACCAATTGTACACCTCCTTGATGATCCTTGTTTTATGCACACGAGTCTGAGTTTCCTTGTCAAAACAAGGGAATTTAGCCAAGACGTTGGGCTACGCTTTGGGTGTATCGATGATCTGATATCGTTCAATACTAGTCATAAAAACAATTCCCTTCCCCTGTTTTACCCACCGGACCGAGACACGATGGAGAATATGTTTTCGAGTTTTTGTATTGGGTGTACAGTCGACTCACCTTTGCTGCGGATTTCTCACTAATTAATCAATAAATTTTGATTCTTTGCAAAAACGTGACATTCACACCTCTAAACACACAGTACCACGTATTTTAGTAAATGTTCACATCCTGTTGAATATTGACTAGAATCCTTCCTCTCATTACAACATAATCTAACAAAGGTCTCGCTTAGGCCTTCAACACTGATGTCGGTATTCTGTTACTTATATGTGCTTTTTCTTTGATTCAGTGACAAGTATTCATTTCACCGTCGTTCAGGAAGCTTATGTGTGTAGTTTACCGTACATCTAAACACCTGTTAATAGTGATTAAATATCAACAGGATAGGCCCATTTATAAAAAAGGCAAGAATAGGTGAATCCTAAGTACGTAATGTTTATGTTCGATTGATTTTTTTTATCAAAAATGAGGGAAGTATTTACCCTTGGTGCTGCTTTGAATGTGTTAATGCCACACTTAACTTGTACCTTAAAGCTCTGCTAGAAATGTATTACCATGTATCACCTTTGTACAGAAATGTCAGGCAAAAGAGGAAATCAGATGGAAGGAATGTGTTATGGAAATATAAATAAAAAATGAAACAGTATGAATGTTTGTTGCTAAACTTCGGCAAAAGGCACGCGATGATTTCTATTTTCGTGTTTTCAAGAATTTGTTTTTGGTAATTTAAGTGAACCTGTCTCAGTTGCCAGTCGTATGCAAACGTGCAATTAATCCTGGTATTACGTGGATGTGTTATCTGTCATGGAATTACTAATCATATCCTGATTTAGTGTGAATAGTGTTACCCGTCAATGATGCCACTGGGATCTGATCGTGTTACTATCGTGTTATTCATATGACGCCTGGGCGGTGTTGTCAGTGAAGGAACTGGGATTCAATAGTTTGACTTTGGTGTTATCTTTCAGATACCCGAATAGGGTGTTATCTGTACATGGTATTATTGTGATGCAATAGATTGACTACGGTGTTATCCATACGACGGCCACTTAGGGTGTTACTTGTTTAGTGTGTCAGATGCCTAACTAGTGCTATAAGTAAATTGTTGCTCTGTGTCCCACGTAGTTTAATGCTGGAGAACGCCTAGGTCGTGGACGTTCAATGCGAACAATCATTGGTATAATGCTGACACACCAAGGATTATGATTAGCACGAATATGAGATTCGAACGTAACATCGACAAACACAAGCATGTTCCCTTGACAACTCATTTCATTGCTGGCCAAATCTAACACCTCGTGGTATGTGTTCAGTTTCGCAAGGAAGTAAAGAACTTTCATCCCCCATGGCTTACCCGAACTTGTGGGTTTGACCAAAGTGAGAGACACGAAGATCAACTGCAATCCTTTGGGCTTTCCTCCCACGTCAAGAAGACAGACGGGATATAACTTGAATAATGTCCCTTGCGTTAAGGCAAACTCACTCCATTCGCCATTGGAAGAGTCTGTTACATATTGTGTTTGTTGTATACATGTAAAAGGCGTCATAACACATGGAAGACAGTGTACCGGGCGACCCTGATGACAACGTCCACACAATGAACATTATATCATACGAGGTTCAGAGGGTTAACCTTTACACACCAACCAATTATTTGGAGGTCGATAAGCTCTATGTTTAAATGTTAATCACGTATCTGTGTCTACGTGTACATGGGTTACACATTTCTTTTACCCAACTACAATGAGTTCCCAGGTACACGAACAACTGAATGTGTCAAATTGCTCAGTAAATACAGTCACGAGCGATGTGAGGTTTACACAAGATATTGGCGTCCCTCAGGGACCCAATTTGACCAGTTCAAGTATTTTGTTTCTTTTGTGTTTCAGGAGATGGCATGAAATAGCTAATACAATTAAGGGTGGTTTGTGAGTGTCTCTGATTTAATCAGCACGGAAGGACACACATTCGCATAAGAATAGTGTTCGATTTTGTTTACATAGGTCCTCCAAGAGACGTAGTTCAACACAATGGAACAACGGAAACTATGCACATGAGCATGCAAAAGATCATTGATCAGCACCTTTATCAACCCCCAGGTCAAGGACATTGCAGAAAAAGATCGACTGACATAGCTGTGAGATATACACCAACAGGAACATCTGTTTGTAGGGCTTGGAGTCACATATCTGTGAGATATACACTAACAGGAACATCTGTCTGTGTGGCTTGGAGTCACATATCTGTGAGATATACACCAACAGGAACATCTGTTTGTAGGGCTTGGAGTCACATAGCTGTGAGATATACACTAACAGGAACATCTATCTGTGTGGCTTGGAGTCACATAGCTGTGAAATATACACCAACAGGAACATCTGTCTGTGTGGCTTGGAGTCACATAGCTGTGAGATATACACTAACAGGAACATCTGTCTGTGTGGCTTGGAGTCACATATCTGTGAGATATACACTAACAGGAACATCTGTCTGTGTGGCTTGGAGTCACATATCTGTGAGATATACACCAACAGGAACATCTGTTTGTAGGGCTTGGAGTCACATAGCTGTGAGATATACACTAACAGGAACATCTATCTGTGTGGCTTGGAGTCACATAGCTGTGAAATATACACCAACAGGAACATCTGTCTGTGTGGCTTGGAGTCACATAGCTGTGAGATATACACTAACAGGAACATCTGTCTGTGTGGCTTGGAGTCACATATCTGTGAGATATACACCAACAGGAACATCTGTATGTAGGGCTTGGCGACACATATCTGTGAGATATACACCAACAGGAACATCTATCTGTGTGGCTTGGAGTCACATATCTGTGAGATATACACCAACACGAACATCTGTATGTAGGGCTTGGCGACACATAGCTATGAGATATACACCAACAGGAACATCTGTTTGTAGGGCTTGGAGTCACATATATGTGAGATATACACCAACAGGAACATCTGTTTGTAGGGCTTGGAGTCACATATCTGTGATATATACACCAACAGGAACATCTGTATGTAGGGCTTGGCGACACATAGCTGTGAGATATACACTAAAAGGAACATCTGTTTGTAGGGCTTAGAGTAACATATCTGTGAGATACACACAAATAGGAACATCTGTCTGTGTGGTTGGAGTCACATATCTGTGAGATATACACCAACAGGAACATCTGTTTGTAGGGCTTGAAGTCACATATCTGTGAGATATACACCAACAGGAACATCTGTCTGTGTGGTTGGAGTCACATAGCTGTGAGATATACTCCAACAGGAACATCTGTCTGTGTGGCTTGGAGTCAAATATCTGTGAGCTATACACCAACAGGAACATCTGTTTGTAGGGCTTGGAGTCACATATCTGTGAGGTATACACCAACACGAACATCTGTCTGTGTGGCTTGGAGTTACATATTTGTGAGGTATACACCAACAGAGACACCAGCGTGTGGGGATTGCTAACGGATACGATGTCTTTGCTATTGTTTTTGCTATCGACTTTGATATATGTCTGGTTAGTAATCAGTTTAATATGCCTTGCTTCACAAAATAATTTCGGGACACACAAGTCATAGGGAACATGAAGTATACTTCGTGGACGTTGAATGCGAACAGGTCGACATATTTAACGAGGCAAGCGCTCGCAATGTTTAATTAAGCGGGATTTTTTTTCAAATATATGACAAACGGGAATAAAATTTAGATTTTGGGAACACATAACTCCCACCGAATCCGTTAACGAATTTATAAAGCATAAACAAAGTTATTAAAACAAAGTTGTAGCTACTGAACAGCCCTGTCGAAGCGCGTCGTGTATTGAGGTTACACACAGTGGTCAACTGAAAGATGGGATCTTGTTTCCAACGATTGTGTCCAAATGTCGTAATTAATTGTGTGTATCAGTTTTATATGTAGTGCCCCCAAGTTCATCTACATGTTTAGCTATAGCCAAGGGTGGTAAGGGCTGTGAAAATGGCTGCCTGGAACCTGTATCGAAGATGCGTGGTTCGAAACCAAACTTCTATAAACAATCGACAAGCATTTGGCAGGGGGTATACATATTGGAACAGTGCAATCTGAAGGCGTTTCCCATAATTGTTTCGAAATAGAAGTGGTGATGAGACAGAACTTACAAAACTGACTTAGCTGTGATACAATTTGAAAGCACCGCACTTTGATGTATGTTTCAGCATGGCCTGCAATTCAGATTTCTGTATAGCCAAGACAAACGGTGCATACTTCTGTGACCCTGCTGACAGTGCCTCCTACTACCGTTGCGAGTTTGGCAAGGCAAGACACTTCACCTGTGGTCCTGGTACTTTATATGACGGTTTCGTATGCAACTTTCCTCAGCATGCATGCATAACTGACCCTGTACCCGACGCATCACCAGGCACGATCATCAACGGGATCTGTGAAGCCACTGCAGAATCAGGCAACACCGCAACAACAACGACAACCGGAAGTGCGGCAAGTATCGGAACTACTGTAGCAACTGGAGCGACACTGCCGTCAAGCACTGCAGGTGAGTTTGTCTCATTTACTCAAAGGATATACTTATTGTGACATACAAAAGAAACCAAAGAGAAATGGCAAACAAAATTAATGCCGTGGATGGAATTATATCACATGGAGTGAGTGAGAGAGTTTGGTTTTTACGCCGCTTTTAGCAATATTCCAGCAATATCACGGCGGGGGACACCAGAAATGGGCTTCACACATTGTACCCATGTCGGGAATCTAATCCGGGTATGCGGCGTGACGAGCAAACGCTTTGACCACTAGGCTACCCGACCGCCCCTATATCACATGGACAGAACAACTTCTCACAAGGGGTTTCAGAAGCAGGTTCACACAGTCAGATGCGAGTGTGTCAAACCTAGTGCATTTATGCAGGCCTGATACCTAACCTCACTAAAGCCTCCAAACCTTGAATAAACGCCTAGGCAATGGTAACAAACGCCTGCAACGTCGCACTATCAGGATTGGCCGTCTGCTTGAGGGCCTCGCACGGTGCAAAACGTCGGACTGCCCTCGCAGATACGCCTCCGTTGCACAGGGTGACAAGGACTGTCAAATGGCTGCCTGGAACATGTTTCGAATATGCGTGGTTCGAAACCATATGTCAATGTGAAAGGTTGTCTTTGGGTGTGGCGGCCAATACGGGGTCGGTCTCTGACGTGGTTGCAGCAATGCTATGTTGACAACGTCGCCATAAGTGCCTGTGTACGTTTGACTGACGGACAACGTCATGTTCATGTATTCCCGTGATTCGCCATTTGTCATATTCACTAAGGCGTGGCATGGTGAAATCTCATGATAACGATCAAAACGCCAATTAGATTTCTCGTTATTATATTTCAAAGCCTTTGGGCTTTGCATTTGAAATAGATATCTCTATTATATCAAGGAACCATAGGTAGATAGCATGAAGCTTCCATATTTGTCAAATTTCTCAAAATTTATATTAGGATTATTATAAACAACAACAAAATATTTATCAGCTTTTCGCTCGATATATAATCGCAACATGTATATGACGTAACACATTGAGGGCACGAGGAATGACGCAATGCATTGTGCACCTCGGCGTCATGTTACT